AACAGCTTAAACCAACCTAGGCTTGTTGGCTGGTTTTAGAGGGGTTTCCAGCCATTTCCAGCCATTTCCAGCCTGGTCTTAGCTGGTCAGGCTGGGAGATGACCAGCTAAAACCAGCTTGACCAGCCTAGCCAGGCTGGGAGCCCAGCCAAAACCAGCTATGTGCAGCTTAAACCAGGCTGGTCAAGCTGGATTTAGCTGGATTTTGCTGGTCATTTTCCAGCCTGACCAGCTAAGACCCAGGCTGGAAATGGCTGGAAACCAGCCTGGAAATGACCAAAACCCCTCTAAAACCAGCCTGGTCGACCAGCTAAAACCAGCCAACCAGCCTAGGCTGGTTGGCTGGTTTAAGCTGGATTTTTCAGCAGGGTGGTCGACAAGCTAAAACCAGCCAACCGTCCTAGGCTGGTTTAAACAGGATTTTTCAGCAGGGGTTAAAAGGTGTAATACCATCAATCTTCAGGTAACAGTTATGAACGACAGTCTTCAAGTCAATCACTGGAGTTTAGACAGATTTCAGGAGTTCATCCTTACAGCTCAAGACAAAGCACTAAAACACACAGAGGAAGAAAGCAGGTTTAGGAAAACAGACAGACTTTCAGCAGAACTACACAGGAAAAGCAGTTCACACTTCATTGTCGGTTAACGACCACAACAAGTAAAGCATTTCAAAGACAAGAACATCACACACAAAACACGACAGACAACATAAGTTGACTTACCATTAGCTTATACTTTAACAAACACATAAACCGCTCCGCTCAACCCGCTCTCCTCAACTTGTTTTAGAAGATAACGCGCTGCAGTTTAAAAGTCCGGCACAGTCCATTTCTAGTGCGATGGCGGAGGTGCCTGGAATATACCAAATCTTGCAGGGGTGTGGGAAATACTTGCTGTCTTTTTTGTTTTTTTATTTTGTAAGAAAAGACATTTACAAAGACATAAATACATAAATAAGTCCCAGCAAACTATAAAAGTTTAAAAGATTTACACAAAGAAAGAGTTTTTAATGCAATATAATTATTAGTCTTTCAAGAAGTTCACATATAAATCGAAATTCATTCATTTTCCTTCAGCTTAGTCCCTTTTATTTCATCAGGGGTCACCACAGTGGAATGAACCGCCAACTTATGCAGCATATGTTTTACACAGCAGATGCCCTTCAAGCCGCAACCCAGTTTTGGAAAACACTCATTCACAAACACACTCATACACTACGGCCAATAGAGTTTTCTTCCCCATGCCAACAAGGGGAGAATTAAACTCCACACAGAAATGCCAACTGACCAGCCAGGACTTGAACCAGCGACCTTCTTTGCTGTAAGGCAACAGTGCTAACCACTGAGCCACCGTGTTGCCATAAATAGGAACTTACTTTCTTAAACAGTTTACCCAAAACTGAAAATTCCGTCATGGTTTACCTTCCCTTTTACCTGTTCCAACCCTGTTTGAATTTCATCAAGAAGACATTTTGAAGAATGTTGGAAAACTGTAAACACTGACTGCCATAGTGTTTTGTTCTACTATAGAAGTCAATGGTGCAGTTTCAGCTTTCTTCAATGTAGTATCTTCAATACAGATCAGTCTACTACATGCATTGAGTTGAAATGAGCCTTTGCTTTCTGTTGACCTCAGCAGACATTTTCCATCGGATATCGTCTTCAACTGACTTACAGGTAAGGTTTTTTTTTTTTGTCATGGGAAAACTGATTTATTCATACAGTAAACCATATTTATTGCTCAATTATTGCATTGATTGACTTAATTCACTATAAAATAGTCATAAATTCTACATTTCGAAAACTATTTTACCATCAATAGTTTGATTTAAATATGATCTACTTATACAATGGTACATAACCACTGAACTATTTGATTATTATAAAAAGCTCTTGATTTCTTTCCAAGAAAACTACATAATAATCAATAATAAAAATATCCAATCCCAAGCTCGGCCTTGCAATAATCAACATGTTTTAATCAACAGAACTTAGTGTAAAATGGTTTGTCTAATTGCTTTGTAAACACTGTCAGTCATTTCCCCCTATTACACCTGTACAGAACTTGACAAAACTGAAGGGGAATAAATAAATGAATTTGATTTCTAATGCTCCCATGTACATTTGAAAACAGGAGCTTGACCCCTGGTTTACATTTGCAATAATTATCAACCAGATGGATGGATATTTACCGTCTGACTAAAATAACCGATTTGCAAAAATAACCAAGTTTTTAGCATCTCCTACAGCAGTATTTCTCAACCACGTTCCCGGAGGAACACCAGCTCTGCACATCTTCCATGTCTCCCCAATCAAACACGCCTGATTCAGATCATCAGCCAATCAGCAGAGACTGAAAGAGCTGTAATTGTGACAGACAAAGGAAGCATCCAAAACATGCAGTGCCGGCGGTCCTCAAGGACCGTGGCCGAGAAACACCATCCTATAGTTTATAACATTATCTGAAGTGTGATAGAGGTTTACTGTTGGCAGCACCATTGGATAAAAACAACCCAGTGGCGTTGCTGTTAGATTCTCCCCATGAAGTGACCATACGTGTCCTCAGAGGAGTGACGAAATTAACTTTCCTCACAATGCTGTAATTTCCTCCTGGTCGCTGACGTCAGCCTTGAAGGTAAGAACCATAGACTGTAAAATATAGGTAAGAACACAACACTTGCAATACAATACTGACCTCTTGTGGTTACTGCAGGATACTACATTCAAAATATCCTTCATTTTTAAAAGAAAAAGAAACTCACAAAGGTTTGGAACCTCATACATTTAAGTAGTCTTTCCATAATTTTACATACATGTTTGCGCACACTTAAACAAAGATTCATTTTTAAAAAGTAAAATATAGTCAGCGCAATAGTGGTTAGCGCACCAACATACGATGCAGTCCCTGCTGAAAAATCCAGCTTAAACCAGCCTAGGCTGGTTGGCTGGTTTTAGCTGGTCGACCAGGCTGGTTTAGAGGGGTTTTGGCCACTTCAGGCTG